CCTTCCTTCCTTCCTTCCTTCCTTCCTTCCTTCCTTCCTTCCTTCCTTCCTTTTTTTTCAAATAAGTTGGTTTACTTCCAGGTGGTACAGAATTCAGGATAGAACAAAGACTGAAGAACACACTTTGGCAGAATTCTGGGCTGGGTTTACTCTGACCTCACAGCTAATGGCTAAGTGAGAAGAACTAAAGAAATGAGCCACTGCATGATTATGATTATGATTATTATTTACAAAAGTTAATTCTTAAATATACCAGAGGGTCCAAGACAACACTTCATTCTAGGCCTAGGTGGCAACAGATGGTATGACAGGGAATCCAGATCTTAAAACAGGAATGGAATTAGGCATCAGCATTGCCTCAGGCACGTGGAACGGCTCGCTTTTTGCCAGATTTGTTACTTCCACCTGCGGCCAGAGGGCCCTCCCCCACGGCCTTCGCTTTTAGTTCCTCCAGTTTCTCCTGCTCCTCTGTGCTTTTGCTCGAATGCCGTATCTTCTTCGCCGCCTCCCTGGCCTGCTTGGGCCGCTTCAGGGGCTGCTTCTTGCCACCTTCGAGACCAGAAATGGTGCCCACTGCCCCTTCCCCAGACCCTGCCACCAGAAGCTTGAGAGCTCCTCTTTCTTAACACTCCTGGAGAGCCTCTCCATCCTGTCCTTTCCCATCAATAATTGCCCACCACACCCCTGGGATACGTATAGTACCTTATACCGGAATATCATATCCAGCATACATAGTATATTATTAACTGTATAACAAACTGTCATTGAACTTCTAAACCTTTTGAAAGACTTCATATAAAAAAGTTCTTAACTCAATAATATTGAATAAAGAAGTTAGATGCAAGAGAGTATATACTATGATTCTGTTCATTTGAAATTCAAAACCAGACCGCGTTAATCTGCAATGATATGAGCCATGAGAGTGTTTATTCTTGTTAGACGTTCTGACTAGGGCAGCATGAGGGAGGCTTCTAGGTACTGGAAATGTTCTGTATCTTGATCTTCAGAATGAGTATATATAAAGTGTGCATTAAGTTTGTGGTTAAGATTTGTGCACTTTTTAGAAGATATACCCCAATAAAATCTAAATAAATAAATAAAACTGATGAACAGAATAGATCCAGGGACATAGAAGCATGGAACAGATTGAGGGATTGAGTGGGGGAGTGGGTGGGGAGAGATTAATCAAAGAACTTGTATGTCTATAAGCACAACCCATGGACACAGACATTGGTATGGGGAAGGCCTGGGGGTGGGGTGGAA